TCACGTTGTGTGCGTTGTTTATGTCTTGCACTGGTTGTTTGTGGTGGGGCTGTTCCTGGTAGAGCTGTAGCCCCTGCACTCATTGGAACAGCAGATTGTTGGCCTACATTCTGTTTCAGAAGTGTCCAATCAAATGTGTAGTCATACTGGTGGTTCAATGTCCTGAACAGAATTCTGTACAGTTGGCGAAGATACATGTAATCTGGTGCCTCTTCAAATTTTAATCCTCTGCAATAGTTTAAATACATGGCAAACTCTGCAGGAAAACCCTGCAAAACAACAACAACAACAACCATTGTAAGCTTATGTGAAAAAAAAGTTATCTACTTGCCACACCTTTAACTCCTAAGATCTGATTATTTATCCTCTCCTTTTGCTACACACATTTCCTTGACATCTCCATGTAATTACAGGAATTTAGTGTCAGATCAAGGTAACAACTCGTACCTGATAAGTTTTAGTATTCTCATTACCTGTTTGCTGAATAATGTATGGATACTATAGGGCAAGTTACATGTTTACAAGTTTAAGGGTTAGGAAGTCTCTCCTGTCTTCTACCACTTGGGGTGACTTGTGGATTTACTACTCTTCCTGAATGAGATACTTTTTTATCACTTGCAGCCCATTTTCCCCCAAAACCCTTTTTTGGAGAAGAACTGTTTTTGTCAGTAATGTTTTACAAATGCACCATTTTAGCCCCACCAGTAACCACTGTAGACATCAAAAATAAAGGTGGTACCACATCCCTAAAAATGTTAGGACACTTTCTCTTGGTTTTATAGGTGACATATTTTTCTCTTAAAAATTCAAATATTGGGCCTAAGAAAAGACAAAATATAACAACTCACTTTACAAAGAACCTCAACTGGTGTGGACATCTTTTTTTCACTTATTCTTTCATACTTCTGTTTCTTTGTAGCAGCCTGGACAGAAGATAAATCATGAAAAGTTGTCATGACTATAATATACCACTAGATGTAACTTGGTTAAAACATCTAGGTATATCAAGTTTTTTAAGGCCTGTTTTGCACATTTTTCCCTTCTTTCCTATAGCCCTGTAGAAAAAACAAAAAACAAAAAACAAAAACCAAAAAAAAAAGAAACAATGTTTACAAGAATGGTAGACAACCTTAAGTCCTTGCCAAGGAAGGCTGCTCCTGGCAAAGTACATTAATACATATCCTAGTGATTCCATGTCATCTCGGCGTCTGTTGTGGAGAGAAAACAGTTAAAGAAACACTTGTTAATAATTTTGCATAAGTGAAGATTAAACTACTGACAGACTGATGTCTGCTTAACCAAACTAAACTAGACTAAATTGAGAGAAGAATGAACATACAGGTAACCAAGACAACCCTGAAATCAAGAGTCAAGTAAGTTTAAAATATGGCAGTTGCATGTTATAATAAAAAGAATACAGTTCACATTCACAGGCATAAATACATTTTGGATGTGACTTAGAGTCAGATAAGGCCAGGCTGTAAGGCATGGGTTAAATGACCCTGAGAAGGCCCCAAAACACAGGTTTACCCAAAAACATAAACTCTGTTACTATATTACTGTCACTTTAGAGGGGGTTGATAAACGAGAACCGCAAAATGATGGCAAAACTGTCTGAACAATCACACCAAAATCTCCAATTCATCCCACAAAATGCATCACAATGCCTGATAAAGTGATATTAATAAATAAAGTAATTCCCTTTTTAGGGGCTGTGTACATCCGGGAAACTATCAAATGAATAACATTTATTGTCAACAATATTAAGAAGTAATAGTCTGTTATCAAGCATGTTGAAGAGATATGAAGTTTGAATCTATCAATAACCAATTAAAGTCAGTATTTGAGTCATATGACCCTATCTGACAAAGCTTATCCTGATTTTCATAGAATAAAGAAACTAAGAGTAGTAACACTGAACTCTGAAATGCCATTAACCCTTAACTCCCAAGATCTCACAAGTAATTCTCCTTACTGTCTACTAATACAGTTCTTGTGATG